GCGTTTTTATACAAGAACTCAAAAGATATAAAGTTTTTTATAAGAACTATCTTTAATAGCAGTTGTTTTAAAAATTCACACTTTCAATCATATCATCAGTGGCTATATTGTGACGCTGTGTGGTGGCGATGTTGAGGAGATAGGCGATGGTCAGCTTTGAATGACAAGATGGCACTTGTTTCATAGTGAAATATCTCTTTAATATTTATGATATTGGATAAAAGGGCTTAATCATTTGAGAACTATAAAATATGTGAGATAAGTGATATCCATCATAAGCTACTAATTTATGATAATTAGTGACATTAACTAATGAGATAATTACGAAAATAATTATCGTTAATTATTAAATAAAAATTAATGATTTTTAGGAAAATTCCATATTTATCTTTTTTCTCTCTCCCCGTCTCTCTCTTATCACCGTATTAACATACACATCATGCATACAAAATAAACGCATTTTTTTATTAACATAGATATCCAACTCGCTATGCGAGCCGACTAATCCCAGTAGGATCACCTGCTTTGTAGATAGCCTGTAGTCATCGCATTTGAACCTTCGTGGTCACAAGAGGATTTTTATTCCCGCTTGAATTTGAACCTGAGACCTCCTGATACTTTTGACCTTTAGAGCCAAGTTCAAACCAATCAGACACCATCCATGTGGTTACAAAATGAACACACTGCGAACACGATGTAAACAAGTTTAATAAAAAAAAATTCGTAGGGTGTTCACAAGGAACAAATTATGTTCACAAAGTGATATGTTTGGATTTAGTTTGTAATTTCAATTTTTATTGTTGATAACTGAACAATGAAATTTAAATATTTTACATTATAATTTAAAGCTAATATAAAACTAATACTAAAATGTACTAACTGGAAAAAAATTGATATCAAGTAAAATTGCTTGATACATAATATAAAATTTTGTATATTAATTATAATTAGGTTTTAGAGGGTGTAGGGGAAAAACTTGGTATCTTATCATGTTCATCCATAAATGGAAATGTTAATTTTTTGGTTTCATTTAAATATCTATTTAATGGGATTTAAAAGTCTAGGGATTTTTCATTAAAAAAAATATTTAGAGAATTAGGAGTTCTTTATTAAAAATATTTAATTGGTAAGTGTTTATTGATATAAATTAGTACTCTCATATAAATTACCGGGTAAGATTATAATTTTTCAAAACGATATTGTATACAACAATTTATTTGATAAACGTTAATGAAGTAAGAGTGGTCACCTTCACTTATCTTTGTCTTTGCATATTTTTTTTGATTATCCTGGATATCCAACTTGCTATGTGAGCCGACTAATTCCCAGGTGATCTAGCCCATAGTCACCACATTTGAACCTCCTGGTCACAAGGGAATATTTATTTCTCCTTGGATTTGAACCTGAAACCTTCAGAACTTTTGATCTTTAAAGTCCAAACTCAAACTAATCAGACACCACCGTTATAATTAATCTTTGCACATTAACACGAAGGGATGCATGCGTTCCAGGACTTGAGAAAAAGCTTGATATAGTTGTATAGAAGAAGTGGCAAGTGGGAAGTGGATGGTAAAAGTAGTATTTTTATTTGTTTATGCCGGGTTATTAATTATTAATAATTTTTTTTTTCAAATAGTAGAAATTAGAAATTGAAAATTATAAGAATATTAAGGGCTCATTGTTTATCTTTTAATGGTTCTATTAAAATATAACTTTTGAATCGTTAAGAGGTAAATTTTGTTTGGCAAAACAAATGTATGTCTCTTAATGGTTCTAAAATCCCCTGAATGATCTTATATCATGAGTCTCCCTTAACCATTCACCACCCTGATTTTATTGTAAACAATTACCGGACAATTATATTTAATTATGCACTATATTATGAGAGCCTATTACTTAGTCTGATCACTTAATCATTATGTATCAAACCATTCAACAACTGACAAATAGTCTCTAACATTAAGGGGGCCGTTTGCCTAACACTTCTCCGGTACACGCTTATCGGTAAGATTTAACACTATTATTTACTTACCTGGTAAGATTTTGGTCCACCAAAACGGTAGTGTATGCAACGATTTACCCGGTAAGCGCTTATCATGGTAAGAGTCGTCGCCCTCACTTATCGGGTAAGACTCGTCGTCCTCACTTATCGGGTAAGACTCTTGGTCCTTATATCACTCTTACCGAGTAAGATTTTTGGTAATTACCATATCCATTCGATAAGGTAAATGTGACTTGATATTTACTTACCCGAATAGACATTTGATAAACGACTCCTAAAATTACCCAAACATTTTGACCTCGGAATTTCCAACCCAAATCGAAATTTGAGTTTACACATATATTAATATATAAAATATATTCATATACATATAATATATTATTAGATTATGAATAATTAGTTATTCTTTTATCCTATTTACTTGTTGTGAGTATAATAAATAAGAGGGTGATATAACCATTGTGAAAAACATATTGCAATTAAATAGGTATTCAAAAAGATGTTTTAGATGAAGTTGATTATAAAAAGCGTAAAATGTATGAAAAAATAGATCTTGATGTTTCACGTTTATAAAATACTTGAATAGATACGTATATTTTTAATTAATATAATTTCTTTATGTTTGCGATTTTTTGAGGAAAAATATATATTTTTATCTATTTATGCTTAGTGCTCCCTCTAATTTTATATCCTGGCTCCACTCCTATTATTCTTTTTACTGGGTAAGATTCTCGATCATTGTATATTTTTCCAGTAAAGTAAATGATTTGATAAACATTTATCAAGCAAGTATTTGATAAACGAACCGTTAATTGTTCTAAATATTTAAGTCAATTAGATTTTATTTTCCGGACGTTTTCAATGCTTTAATAATAATTTATTTAATTGGTTTAAAAAATCTTAAAATTATTCGGTTAAAAAAATTGTAAAAAACGTAATAATTCAAAACCGAAAGATCCGCCAAAATTATCTTGACTTGTTTCTGTATAAAATAATCACCGATTCAATTATTATTGTCACAAGCCTTGCCAAGTATTAACTGACAAACATCGTACATGTACCAAGTGTTTGCACTTTAGAACAAGGCCACATATGCTTTTTAGTTTAAAAATGGAATCAAATTTGTAACTTTTTATAATTTTAAAATTAATTGTGTTTATGGGGTTTGATAAAGGATATATCTATCGGTAATTTAATGAGTTTAATGAGATCCATAACTCATCCAGTCAGCTATGTGTTTGATAGTAGCTTAATGATATAGAAAATAACCTCTTCAGTAAGTTTTAAGGAGGAACTTTATGTAAAAAACTAAGTTTTTTCCAACACTATCCATCCGAATAAAAATATACGTTTCTTTTGTCTATGAAAAAACTCTCCAAACAAAAACTTTCACATTCTACACAAACAAATAAACTCATACATACAACTTTACATATACAAAACTTAATAAAAAATTCAACCAAACAACCCCTTTCTTTTAAGATAAGGTGTGAGAACTTTACATTCATAATAAAAATCATCTAAGAAACACTTCCCATTTTTATTTAAAATCAGTTTAGATTAGATAACATGGTTATATATTGTTATCGTAAGAGCATCTGCAACAATTATACTATTTTAACAATTTAGGAAAAATTTGTTTTAAACAGCTATGCTGAACTCTCTTATTAAATAGAGAAAAGGGAGAAATTTACAAATTTATTAGAAGAAAAAGAAAATATAACATATATGTTGGAGATACTCTAAAAAGACAAATTAAAAATACAAAATGCTATTATTTTTCCATAAAAAACCTTTTACGTGAAAGACTAATAAGCTGCTTACTAAATTTTTTTATTAAGTCCTATATGAATAAATTTATCTGTTTGGATAACTGTTACATTTTTTTTAAATTATATATTTGCACACCAATCTAATTAATATAGATGATGTACATAGGCCTGCTCTTACCTTGAGGTGCATCCGTGCATAGATAAAGTTATACTTGCATTACTTTAACCTCCTGTTAATCCTCATGAAATCATCGTAGAAATCAAATGCATAGAATACAAAGTTCTTGAAATTTAAGATCTCAAAAAAGATCAAGATTTGATAATGAGTCCAACCCAAAATATAAAGATCTAAAAACTCTAAAAAGTATAGCAAGATCCGGCAAAGAATGAAACCAGATTGTGGTAAAAAAAACATTTGTTTTGTTAAAGTCTCATATCTATTAGATTTAGACCATTTATCCCTTATATATGTTAGAACTTACTTTCTCTTTCTTAAGAGCTATTTTAGAGAGTAATCTGGGGGTTTCACGTATTCTTACATGGTATCAAAAGCTAAGGTCTACCAATCAAAGGGCACAAAGATACCGTTTACCAAATTCTTACCCAGTAATCGCTTACCAGTAAAATCAATACTTTCCTTTAACTTATTGGGTAATTAATATTTTAATCTATTCTACATCGAATGCGACATTTTTATCCGGTAAGCGCTTACCGGGTAAGGCTCGTCACTGTCACTTACTGGGTAAGACTCGATCCTTATAATCACTTTTACCGGATAAGATTCTCAATCCTTGTCATATTCATCCAATAATGAAAAGTAACACAATATACACTTATCGGGTAAACGTTTAACTTACTGGGTAACATTTCCAATGATGTAAAGTGACCTAGTAAGCACTAGCCACCGTTGAAGGAGACGTGTTAGGAACCCACATCGGTTAGACTTAATTGGGGGCCACATATTTTCACATAATATTGGAGCCAATGTTTGCAGTCTAGAGACACGACACTCTGACTAGCCATCTCTCAACACTTTGGGATAACCAATGTTCATATAGCCTCCTTTGAAGGGGATTCATTAGAGCCCTACATCGGCTAGACTTGAACCATTTATTTCTTATATATGTAGGAAGTTGGAACTTCCATTCTCTCCTTAATGACTCTTTTGGAAAATAATATGAGAGTTTCATTTATTCTAGTTTCTCACATGTTCTAATTTAGTTGTATAATATTGATGATAAACTAAATAATGTAATATAGATACAACATATACATACAGAAGTCTTTGAGATTTAATGATCTCAAATGTGATCAAGGATCAGCCATGGTACAAACTACAAAGAGATGGAAGCAATTTAGTGGACTCACCTATGAAATCATTTGAGTGAGTGCATCTTCATCAAAGGTTTTCAGGTGTCTTGGTGGGATAACTATGAGTGCCTCCTGCAACCACCAACTTCTGTAATTACAAAAATACCCTTTTAATTTGTGGCATGTAATGATCAAATCTTGAGCTTCGTCATAATGTAGGCCATCCTATATATCTGAATACCTTGTAATCCCGTGAATTTTGGTTCCGTATTCTCATTTTGTTGATACAATAAAAAGGTTGCAGCCTGTGGATCAACTTGCAAAAATACTAAAATTAAAATTAATGATTATAAATAAGTCATATTTAATAAATTACAAAAAAAAAGTGGTACAATTCGATAATAAATAAATATATATATATATAAGCTATTGGCATCGATATATCTTATATAAAAAATTCTTCGTACTATCGCAATAAGATATAAATACATCAAGAAATCACATCATAACTTTTTAAGTACATGTAATTTATGAATATAATGTCAAACAAGGCACCTCAGTCCAATAAATGTAGATTAAAACATGGTTAGGCATATGTCAAATGACTAGTTTTATAGCCTACAAAGCATTATCCCTAGTTTTATTCACACTACAATTAATTCAATTGTTTTCATTTCTGAGATGTTTATAAATACAAATACCATCTTATATTTTTGTGAAGTTTAATTCAAAATCATCTTTTTATCATCTTGATTTTGGTTGATAACATTTATCTACTTTAGTTGTATGAAATAATGTTTTAAAAATTTGACTAATAAGCAAATGTCATTAACTAAAATACCAGAAGCCTACTTCGTGCAAGTACTTTAATTCGAACCAACTATTTTACGCTTTGCTACACATAATTCAACTATGATCATTTTTTTTTCTTTTTAAACGGTGGTATAATTAGACCATAAATGTCAAAGCTATAGAAAATATACACTATATCATGTTAGATTAGTTGGTTGTTGCTTTCTTTTGCAAAGGAAGGTCATTGGTTCGATGCTTCTCCCTCTCTTCCATTTTCTTTCATAAAATGTATAGAAACTGAAAATTAAAAGGTGAAAAGAATGGAAATTCATTATAGGTGGGATTCGAAACCGCGCCGTCTCAAGACATAAACCGAAATACGGCGATTTAAACCATCTCAACCATATAAAACTTTTGTCATGAGGTTAGTTTAAGAAATATGGGGTCACAACAAAAAATAACGGTCATATATTCTTTAAAAATGTAATTTTTTCTCTCACCATAATCGGAGATTATAGTTGCACTAGTCACTATGATACGCTCTCACGCAGGTCTACCTCTAATGATCAGTAAACTATCATGTGTCTCGATGAACAAACCATAATTTAGTTGAACACAATTTTCTGTCTTTAACATAATCAATTATTCTAGAAACTTTTCTAATAAAGTAAACATGATTCTTGCATTACGTCATGTTTTTAATTATATTATACAAGGTTGCCAACCCTAATAATAGAATATCTCGCACACATAATAGGATATGCGAAAGTTAATGCATGCCTTACAAAATATTAATTGTTTCGTTTGTTAAGTATTAGTTGTAATTTGACATTTTGATTGATTTCATATTTTTCCCAAGGTTTAAATAAAACTAAAAAGTAATGTTATATATTTTCAAATATATTTCAACCTACCAAAATTTATTGGTCATATGATTCATGCACCAAAAAGTAACGTTATAACTTGATGAGAGTTGTTACTCTCACTTACAAGATGAGACTTTTGGTCTTTTATCATCAATTTTATCAGGTAAAATTCTAAATTATTGTCATGTTTATTTGATAAAATAAAATGACCAGATAAGTACTTATCTAACATTTAATAAGCATAACCAGATTTATGACTATAGATCAAGCTATAATACATAGATGATGAAAGATAATTAAAGTGAGGTAGTAGCTTTACGTCTTTTAAGTGCACGAGTGACATAAAAAGCTGCGGTAGCAAACAAGGGATGGAAAAGTAGCCTTCTAAAATGAGCTTTTATAATGAACTTTCATGATTTTGTTCTAAATATATGATCTTTCTGACTCAAAGCTAGCTAGCATGACCTGCATGCTTTCTGGAGGATTTAATTATAAGGCATCAAATATAGAATTGGTTCTCTTTCCAGAAAAAGGAACATCAAAAAATATATATATATATACACACACATACACACTTGCGATCATGTGAGACCAATCTATTTTCATAACATCCGTGAGACAACTTTTTTACATTTAAAACTTCACAGTAAAACACTGTGAAGGTAAACTTCACAGTTTTTTTCCCCCCTGTGAAGGTTCAGAGTTTTTTACATTCCAAATGTTTTGCTGTAAAGTTTCAAGTGTAAAAATATAGTCTCACGGGTCTCATGAAAACATATTGGTCTCACACGAACTCAACCCTGACAAGTGTATAAATAAGAAGTTGTATCCATCGAATTAAGCTCCTGACAAGTGCACCCGATTGGGAGAAAAGTTATTGAAATAACATTAATGCAATACTATTAAGACCAAGAAAATTAAACAGATTGGGTTTTGATGATTATATGACTATATCTATGTTAAATAACGTTCCAAACCGAAGCAAATTGAGCATGAGAGGCTGATTAATTGCACACATAATTTTGGTTTGTATGTACGAAGTTAATGGGTTTGTAGAAGAAGGGGACACATAATTATGTTTTGTATGTATGAATTTAATGGGTTTGTAAAAGAAGAGAGAGAGAGAGACGTAGGGAGAGGGGGAGAGAGAGTGTTTCACGAAAAAAAAAACATTAAAAAATAAAAAACTGAGGAAAACATTGATCACCTTTCATCTAGCATGCATATGTGCATGCAAGTAATTGCAGATGTTTTCTGGTTTATATGCACGTGTGTCAGATAAATTACTTATATATTACTCACAAATTACTTATATTCATATGTGCATATCGTACAGATGAATGGACGAGAGTTTTCCTCTATTTTTCATTTTTTTTTGCGGTTATCCTGAACATAACCCTATATATATATATATATATATATATATATGTGTGTGTGTGTGTGTTAATTAAAAATAAAGGCAAGTATCTATCATTGCTTAATTTATATTCCCCAAACGTGAAGAATCTTATATATGAATAGGTGAAAAATTAATGAAGGGTGGAGAAAGAATGGAAGTGAATAAATTTGTTAGGGAGCTGTTAATCACATTCTCATAAAGATTTTGGATAGCAGATCTGATAATGTGGTCTAATACATGAATGATATAATGTATAATGATTACAAATCAAGTTCTGGAGGACCACATATGGACCATATATCTGTTGGCTTTCCAATACCACTTGTGTACAACTAGTCGACTATAAGGACCATTCATTTTGGCTTGCTTGTAAAAAGGTGCATCTACCAGAAGTACACCCCCCTCGACACTATCTTTTTGGTATGGGCCGGTATGAAATGCTTAGGGAGAGATTCTGTGTGCAATCAATTCTTAATGATGCGCCACTAGCCAAATTAATAAACATGTGTCAATATGTGCTACTTCAAAAATACAAAACTATATATTTCACAAGTCAAAAGAGAATTAATCTATTAAAAGGGGTTTCTACCGAAATAAATTGGGTAACTGATAACCGAGTAAGAATGCGATTTGTGTCACACTATTCACTCTATGAGTAAGAGTCCTTCCTTTAGTTTAAAGGGTCCACATCTCAGTCAACATCATGGAATGATAAGAGGAGTTTGGTAAACAATAACATCTCTAACAGGGTAAGCGCCTCATAAGAAACGATAAGTAGTAAACAATCTCTAAGCTTCAATGGGAAGGGAGAAAGACTATTTTGATTAGCATGAGTGAATTGGCTAAATATTATGAGCTTCCTTAATTAACAAATGTATTTTCATATGTGATTAATATAATATATATAGGGTTGAGTCCCAGTGAGAATGAAAGGTAATAACGGTAAGAAGGAATCTTCACCCTTGGATCAATCTTAATTAAAGAGAACCAGTAAATCAATACTAATGAGATACACTCTAGAGCACAATTTATAGGTTGTTTTGAAATTAAAAATGATCAAGGTCTAAATTTCTTCTAACATTTCTCATATTAACTCCTATTCTCTTACGATCCTTCGTCTATATATGTATGTATATATATACACACACGGTTGTGCAACCAGAAACCCTAAATAGTCTATTTGCTGCCATTTTGTATTTTCCTTTATTCCCCCAAGGTTTTATACCACGCCACGAGACATTACTATTTCTTGAGTACCCAAAGATTACCAAGAAATGTTATATAAACAAAAGCTTAACCAAATAGCATTTGGCCTCTTAGAGGTAAGAGTTCAAACCTGATCAAAAGTGACGAGAGTTTGTGAGTTTATTTGTTGCATTTGCTGTATATAAATATTATATATTTCAAAAACACAAAAAAACAAAAGATAGAATATAAAAAAGAACAAAATTAACTAGCATCTCCAATGTAAATGGCAAGTTTATGAAGGATGTACATACCTTTACATCATTGATTGCGCATTCTGGGAGGAACAATATCACCAAGCAACCCTTGACCCACCTGAGACCCTTGAGAGGATGACTGAGGTAGTCTATGGGACATATGATCTCCTGATTCACTTGATACTAATTGTGGCCGTGATTGTGAGGTAACAACGGCATGCATTTCACTAGGGAATTGAGCTCTAGAATAGTTGGCAGGCTGTAGGGCTGAAGAAGGGGGCAATTGTCTTGCATAGACTGCTTCATGATGATTTATGAGTCCTCTTGGGAACCCTACAGTGTGATGACAGTGCTGGCCTTCATATGTCGTAATTACAATTGTAGGATCTTCCGATGATCGCTCAACTCTTTTCTTCACCGTGCATTTGCTATTTGTGCAGCGGTAATAGCTCCTGATCAAAAGCATCGTGAAAAAATGGGACTAGATTTAGAAAACATGAGGAAAGGACAAAATACCTTTGGGGCAATGCACTTCAAAGATTAGTTCTTGCACGGAATTTGTGTTTCTTCTCTATATGGTGGTTCTTCTCATTCTTTCCACACCACCCCCATATATGCATGAATACTTAGGGTGTGTTTCTTAGCAGCTTAATGAAACTCACAGTTTATTCGATCAATTATACATAATTGTTTGGTAGTGACTTGTAATTATATAGAAAGTGAGTTGTTCAGTAAACTTTTATGAGAGCTTTATGCAGAAAACCAAACTTTTAGTTGAACATACCCTTCCCAATTACAAAATGCACTCATTTATGAAAGAAACCCTCTCAAACAAAAACATTCTCAATCTATAGAAATAAACTAATCCATATAGATATATTAATCCACACACAGTTTTATTCATACGGGACTTAATGAAAAATCAACCTAATAACCACCCCCAAGTTTATATATAAGTTGCACTAACTAAAAAGTTGCCTTAAAGCATAGCCATATGGTTGACAGAAAAAAAAGACATCATGAATGCAACCAAATATCTAAAAAATCCGAGCTTCTTTAAGTATTTACCATAAAATATCATGACTCAAAATTATTGCCATTCTATTTTGGCAAAGGCATACGAGTTCTTTTAGATTTAATCTGTAATGCGAACTAGATCCTTCATAAGGATATTTGAACATGCTACCTTAGATTACTATGCTTCTAATCCGGTTATATATTGATGCTCTTTGTTTAGACACATAATAGATTAGCTCTAACAAGCCTTCATGAAAGTTCCAACATATATAGAGGATAATTTGTCCAACTCTAGCCGATGTAGGACTCTAACCCCCCTCCCCCTCAATTGAGGCTAGATGGGGGAAGATGTCACAGAAGCTACGTTTGGTACATGGGATGGAACATGACAGGACCGAACAAAATTCATTGTCCCACGTTTGGCGCAGTATGAGACAGAACAAGAATTCACTGTCCCACGTTTGGCACGACATTAGACAAGGACAAGAACTGGGACAACATGAGACAAAAGAGATTTGTTCTTGTTCCACCAAAATAGGTGGAACAAGATTAGACAATAATGAGACAAAAACTAAAATATTACTAATCTACCCTAGTTTGACATATAATTTTAATGTGATATATGTTTAAATGGTCATCACCGTTACTCGTGGCCGCCACCACCATCTGCGATCACTCGTAGCCACCGTTGGCCACCTCCACCTCTTCTTCCACTACAACAACATCCTCAAACCCTTCACAACCACTAACCACCACCGTCCATATCTACCACTATCGGCGACCGACCACCACCATCCATTGCCACCACCACTAACGGTTGCCAACCTCCAACTCCTCTTCTACTAGAACAACCTCCTCCAACACCTCCACAACCACCGTTGATACCGACCACCACCGTCCATTGCCACCACCACTACATCGACCACAACTACCTTCACCATTGTGGACCATTGCCACCATCACAATCCACCATCTTCATGTCTCGTCTAGTCCTGTCCAATCATGTTTGCGTACCAAACATTACCAGAGTGACGAGAGAGGTTAGGCGGCCAAACATGTCCTAGAGTGTCGAGTCCTGGGTAAAGATGTCCGGGATGTCCATGTGGGAATATGTGAAACCAAAAGAGCCCTTAAGGAGCTAAGGGAGGTTCCAACATATATAGAGGAGAATTTGTCCAAGTCTCACCGAAGTGGGACTCTCACAGTCATATTACAATTGGTCACATAGGTGACTATAGACTTAAAGGATATGGTGATTTTAAATGAACGATCCTCTAGAAATTATGGACTTGATGCAGCATTCTTGGAATGAAGGAAAGGCATGCCAATACCACGCATTTTCTAGAAGATCCTAGACCCATGCACCATCTGGAACAGGTTATAAAACAGCAATCTCATATTCGATCAAACTGAAATATGTTAGAAAATTAACATGGAGGCCTTCTATTGGTCAATTGAAGCTAAGTCTTCTCAACATTATCAATGGCATGTATGAAGACAACCATGGAATCTGCTGTGGCCTTAGCATCTAGCTTAGCTCTTGCAAGTTCAGTTTTATATAGAAGCCCACATGTGTAATATTGATGTCTTTTGTGCTCTAGGGTTGGATCCTTTTTTAGATGGACATTTAGCCAATTGCATTTAAATCTTCTGGAATAGTCATATCATGCATGTACATGTTATATTCAAGTTCAGTTGAATTTTCTTATATCTGCTAATAGCATAAATACACTTTTGCAAAGGAGGGGGGTGTACAGCTAACAGGTTGAATCATTGATAGTAAAATTTAATTCTGACATGATCTGTAGAGGGGATTGTGCATAAAACTGAGATTATGATCCCTTTGATCAATTAATCCATTGGCTTTTATAGGCGCCTTTCTAGCGATTGGATGCAGAAAATTAATAGTGTAGGACGGTAGAAAAACACTATTAATTTTCTGCATCCAAGCGCTAGAAAGGAGCCTATAAAAGCCAATGGATTAATTGATCAAAGCGCTATAATCATATATATATATATATATATATATATGATTGTAGTATGTGTTATATAAGAGAGAGATTTGAAATACAACCTAGGAAAAGGGCTATTTTTTACAGCTTTCTGCCCATATTTTCTCCATCTGTAACCATCTTCAAGATGATCAATTTCACTCTTGGTCATGAATGCAAAACGTGGCTGACGGATCCTTTTGGGTCCCTTCTTTTTAGCCTTGCCCCTGAAAATAATTTCAACCAACTTTTATCAGTAAGTAGATATTGAATTAAAACCACAAAAAATTAAAGTTGAACATATTAGATTCAAATAATTAACTTCAATTAAATTAACTGCAACTATCCATATATATATATATATATATATATATACAACAAATCTACTATCCATGATCTTGATGGGTATATGCAAACCTTATTTTGAGGGGAAATTGTGTAGATAAATCATAACCCAAGAAAACCAAACTTTTTGGGTAAACAAGAGAAAATTAATCACGGAAAGCACTACAAATGATAACATATATTTTAGGGGCATTTGTCCTTGAAATCAAGAGGGTGGATAAGTGCATCAGTAGTTCCCATTTCTAGTTTCTTGATTTGCCTTATAAAACACTTGATATAATCGTTTACTATAAGGGGTCGCAGCGACTAGGTCCTGACTACTGTTTACCAAAAAGAGAGGAATTTCTAATTATGAATGTTATCCCATACAGGCATACACAGATAGGAGAAAGGTCATCAAGTCAAAAGGTTGTTGCATGTGGAGAGAATGCATTGAATGACCATTTCTGAAATTTAAAACTCATTTATTAGAAATTAATACAATAACAATAGTGTATGTATCTTATTAACCTAATGCAAATTAATTAAATAAGACTAAAAGGATTTGGAGATCACTTTCACACACAGGTGCAAAGACAGCACAGTGAACTTTCCATTTATAACAATTCTTTTAACAGAAAAAACTGTATTCGTGAAAGAATCGGATACACAACAAAAATCCAACAAAAATGGAGAACAAAACTACATTTATTGCAAGAATCAAGTTAAACCAAAAAATTCTGATGCAAGGATTTATGACTGAAACAAAAATCGGATCTATGATTAATTCTTACTGCAGCACGTCAGTAAGTAATGTTTAATCTATAACGGTTATAGGATATCATTTATTAGGGGCCATAAATGCAAAATTGGTTGATGTATGACAACAAATACTTTGATTAGATGCATTATGTTTCGTAACTTTTGTGCAATTTTTACGGAACCACATGTGCAATGTCAAAAAGCAAAATATGAGTGTCTAACGATTTACATGTTCCTGAAATACAGACAATGATAATTTACTTATTTTAGAAAAAGCTGCATATATCCTTCATATACTAAACATGACAGGATACATATTAGTATACTATACATACAAACAGACATACATATACATATTATATATATATATATATACACACACACACACGTGTGTGTATATATATATTAGTTATTTTAGAAAAAGCTGCATATATCCTTCATATACTAAGCATGACAGGATACATATTAGTATACTATACATACAAACAGACATACATATACATATTATATATATATATATATACACACACACACACGTGTGTGTGTGTATTTATGTGTGTATCTACGTAGGTATATATGTATGTATACATTTGTATGCGTATTCAACAAGCAGCATACAGATGCTAACGTTTATAGTAAAATAAGATGGTTCACATCCATCCGGGGAGGGTTCATCCTACCACTCACTGTCGTCATTTTATGTGGAAAGGTAGACAAGAACCAACACGCCACCGCAATAACGGCGGTGTTGATGCTCTCTAGCTAGGGACCGGTGAAAATAACCCTAGTACTGCACGTAATTTACAGAAATGCCATCGCAACTTGCGTGAGCAGCTTTTGTTAACAACTTGGAGCTTTCTAGAAATAAAATACGAGGAAATGGATTACAAATTATTCTTTAAAATAAATAAATTTATACGTTTTTCCTTTTTTTTCCAGAAAATTCATCCTCAAAATTCATCATGATAAACAAATACTAAAACCGATTGTGCACTGTAAAATAAAAATCCTAGTGAATTTTGGTTTTTGTATTTGAGAAAGCATTGTTAATTATGCTATGAGAATCCGAGTTAATCAAGCATTTAGAAACACGTGATAAAAAAGTAATACTGCTACTGCTGCCGTTTCTGCATCTACTACTACTAACTCACGCTCTCTCCGACGATGGAGGTTTACCACCGAAGGCGGCGTCACCTGAAGCCGTAGAAGACTCCATTCGATCCTCTGACGAACTTGTGGAAACCAACGGATTTGAGATCGATACATCCCCTGCCTCATCAATAGATCCAGCCTGAACTTCACTAGCGATAACACCTACGCTTACCTCCGGCAAAGACACGGAGCTACCGACGACGTCAGAATCGATCCGATCAAACACCGATGGCGGAGGCTGGAAGTTCCATCCGAACTCATTCAATACGCTACTTTCTCTAGCATCGTTTCCGAAAAAGCTGTAATCGCCTTGGAAGGTCCACGTATTGTCGGAGGTGAATCCGCCGGCGACTGGATCAACCTTATCCTTATCATCCATATACCAACTCCCGGTGCAGAATAGAGAGAAATCGAACGAGTTTATAGCGTGAGAGAGAGAAAAAGCTCTGTCTAGGGTTTTAGGTTTTACGAATAAGGAGGGAGAGAAAGAGTGTGTGAGAGAGAGAGAGAGAGAGAGAGAGAGAGAGAGAGAGAGAGAACGCGTAAAATTCTGTTGAGGTTTTCCTGTCGACGATTGATTGGTTTTTTCTTTAATATATTTTTGATATAATTTCCATTTTTGGATTATTATATACAATATATATACATATATATATATACACATATATATGTATATATATATATATATTTTGCTTCTAATGAAAGCTTTGGAGAAGAAGGAACAGGTAAACGATAATATTAAAAAATCGGCGTCAACAATTAAATAGTACGGAGAAGAACCGATGAGAAAGAAGGAAGAAAGGTTGTTTGTTAATTAATTACCACGCGCGTAAATTTGAGTGTAAATCACTCGCGGGGATGTTGGGAAGAAATAGACACTTGATAATTCTAAAATTAGTCATAACAATTAAAATTATTATTTAAAAATATAATTAATGTATTTTCTAAAAAATATATATACATATATTTCTTTCTCTCTTTTTTAGAGGGATGGTCATTTATCCCGATCCGGTGGGAAACCCGGTTTACCCGATCCGAACGGGGACAACGATTCCTCGCTAAAACGAGTCCGAAGATCCTTGGTAAACTCAAACCGGGATCAGGGCTAGGGAATGTTACTCAAACCGGGGTCGGAGTCGGGAATCTCCGGTAGAATCAAACTAACGGATATTCTTCATGGGGTTTGACCGTGGATTGTTAGGGTTTGACTGGGGATGAGATGTTAATCCTCGTAGCCGTAGGGGATCGGGGCCGGGGATTATTAAAACCCGCCCTGTTGCCATGCCTACTCCCTTCTCTCCTATTTTTGTAACATACGTAATTAAATATGCACATAAAATGAACATATAATGAACACAATATAAATAATCATAAGAATTCTTTTACTGGTGTGTTCATAATTTATTTACAAGGTTCACATGATATTCATATGGTGTTTGTATATTCAATTATGTGTGTTTGCATCTTTTATGAAGAGATAAGAGATAAAAATATGAGAAACGAGACAAAAAAGTGGAGATAGTGAGAATTTTTACTTTAGATTAAATTTTATTTTTCAACTAATTTTTTTTATAGTCTGAATTGGATCTTATGAACCTCACAAATTGCAAGGAACTCAAAATAATACCCCACTATTGAGAGTGGATAATGTTATTTTCAACCGTTTTAAGTCCGAATCAAACATTTAGCCACCCTAAATTAAATCAAATCAATACCAATTAGGAAAAAACACTGGGCTAACGAAATTATTCACAATTATATTAATTAATATTTATGTTTTGACAAAAAATAAATTTAATATTTAATTGTTTATGCGTCATTTATCAAACTTTTATCTGATATCAAGTGGATATGACAAAAGATCAATAATTTTACTCAGTTAGAGACATAATAAGAACTGAGAATTTTACATGATAAATGAAGAGAATATTCTTAATAGTTTCATTAAAAGATAGTTTTTGAATCGTTAAGAGGTGAATCTTGTTTGTCAAAAAAACATGTCTCTTAATAGTTCTAAAACCCTCTGAATGATTTTGTATCATGAGTATCTCTTAACCATTCAGCACTCTAATTTCGTTGTAAATAATTACCAAATAATTATATTTCATTTTGCACTATATCATGAGAAACTCTTAATCATTCTGCATCAAATCATTCAGCAACTACCAAACAACATCTTACCTAATAAATGATTACTGGGTAGTGGGTACAAACACTTACCAACATTTGATTTTGATGACCGAAGATGTTATCAATAATATAAATGAATATGATGATTTTTAGTTCCTAAAACATCCCCTAAAATTAAAGTAATTATATTTAAAATATATAAGTTCATTAAAAAATTAATATTTTAAAAATAAGTATAAGATTATTTAATTATCTTTACTTTTAATAGAACATAATATAATTATTTGATATTTAATCATCATATTTAAAATATGCTTATTTTACAATTTTATTTGACCTTTTTAATAATTTATTATTATCAAAGACGATAATGTAAGAAAAACACAGAGCATTATAATAATATGAAATATACATAAATTAAACAACCCAATAATAGCAAAATTCAAAAGTAAGAATCCATCATGTACCATGATAATTAGGTGGGACGAATTTGTTCAAATAAATAATAAGTCTTAGGTTTGATCTTAGGTTCAGAGGTGTTTAAAAATCCGACCAATTTAATCAATCTAATCTAACTTAACGCGAAATAATTTAATCCGAAACAACTCGATGTCTAACTGAGTTGTAAAATTTTCAAACCGTAAGTATCGGGTTGATACTGGGTTACTATCTTTTGAACCCAACCCAACCTGATGAACCCTGGTATCATTTTAGCTGACTATTCATAGGTGAACGAATTAGGCTTTTTCTTGGATTTATTATGATTGTTAAATTTCTATTAATATATACATTAGGCGATTGCATTATCATGTACGCTTCTTCATATACACATATTTTCAATCTATTTGCATCTCTATATAACACAGTCGTATATATGTTCAGTAACTGTGAATATATATATGTAAATTGAGAAAATTAACTGAATGGAATATATGTAAGAAATATTGATAAGTTGTATCAAATGGTTGATGATGAAAAATAAACTTTGAGTAGAGAAATAACATATTCAAGGTTAGAAGAACATTTTGATGTATCAAAGTATCAACCCGACCAACCCGTACGGTTCGGGTTGGATTGAGTTAAGATTTTTCAAACCGCAAACGTTGGGTTGGGTTGTTCAAATGTCTTCAACCCGATCAACACAACCCATAAACATCCCTACTTAGGTCCTTCATTAATCTCAACTACCGACTAAGTCAAAAAATGTCCCTTCACACTGATGTCTTTAGAGACGATTCTATGTGGGGCCGATTGGGATGCCAATAATCAACTTTTTACCCAAATGATCAATATATTCTTTCGTATTGGTTTTACTATAATTACAAAAATCGTATATTTAGAATTTAAAATTAATTACTTTTTAATTTAATTAAATCAATTAAATTGCTTTTTCTAGTATAAAAACACAAAACTCAATAAATATAACGAACTTCATCTTTCATTTATTTTGTTTGATGGCGATGATCAAAAATTCAAAATCGTCATCTAAAATTCACATTTTAGCACAATCACGTGTCAGTGTTCGTTACATGAATCAAGAAATTTGTAATTTCAACAACTAATCTTAAAAGTGTCAATTATGTACAACATCAGTTAACATCCTTATTAACTGTACCAATAAAATTTTTAATGTTGATATAGAATTATTACAAACATATATCAACCAAAAAAACTGATACCAAGTAAATTTAGTTTGTACAAGGTATATAAATATAAAATATTTGTGCAAATAATAGGTTCATTGACACACGAGATATAGAAAACAAACACTGTATTGTATCATGTTCATCCCTTTATTAATTGGATCCTATAAAGTTATTTACAAAATTCACTATATTAACCGACAATTTATAAAAATAAACATCAATTGATAGTTGTAATTCACTGATACAGTTCAATGTAATTTTAACTTCATAAAAGTAAGGTTATATTTGGCAAACTAGCTGATGAACAAATCATGTTCGACAAAACTAGATGATAAGAATGTAAAATGACTAAAAAAATGTCGTCTTGAAAAATTAATCAATTATAGTATTTCAAGATATAATTCAAACAAATCTCTAATAATATAATATATTAACTAATATAAATAAGATGATAAAAAAAATGAAAGAAATATAATATATTGATTAAAAGAATGTCAAAT